CATCTTACAGGCAACAGGAAGTGAACTAAAACACTTGGTGGTATCTTAAATGTAGGAGACCTCAAAGCCTGCCCCCACAGTGACACACTTCCTCCAAGAAGGTCACACCTCCTAATAGTGCCAGTCCTTTTGGGTCATTTCCCTTCAAACTACCCCAAAGACTTTCAACCATATCATGGTTCAAAACTGCATTTAGTTTAATTTCAAAAGTCTCCATAATCTATAGCAGTCTCAAACTTGTTGCAAAGTCCAAAATCTCTTCTGAGACTTATAGCAGTCTCTTAACTCTAATTCCTCTATAAAAGCAAAAAGAAAATCACAGATTTCCAACATATAATGACACAAAATATACATTACCATTTCAAAATGTATGGAAGGGAGCATAGTGAGGATATACTGAACCAAAATAAGACCAAAAACCAGGTGAGCAATCATCAAACCCTGAATTCCCATGTCTGATGTCAAAATGCTCTTCTGGTCTCCAACTCCTTTCAATTTTGTTGACAACATACTTCTTTCTCTTTGGCTGGTTCCATTCCCCATTAGCAGCTTTCCTCAGCCACAATCCTATGCCTCTGGCATCTCTAACATCTTGGGGTCTCCAAGGCAATCCATGCTTAGTTTCACAGCGTTAGCAGTGGCCTCTCTCGGCCTCCATTCAAGAATGCCACTGACACATCCCTGACCTCAGGGGCTTTTCTTAGTGACAGAGTAAAGTCCATATCCCGTTCTTTTACTCTCAACTCTAAAACCAGAACCAAGTGTCCAAAACTGCCAAGTTCTTCTGATTACTGGTGCTGGAATTTGGCCCCTTTGCTCAATTACATCTTTACCACCTTTCTATTTTCCAGGGATAAACATAGCTGTCTGAAAAATCAGAGGTCTGCCAGCCTCTGCTTTCCATGTGCTAGGATTAAAGGTGTGTACCACCACACACAGCTCTAAGCTTTTATTTAAACTAACTTTTCGTAAGTTTGACATTTAGCTGAGTGGGCTCATGCCCTGAGGTCAGCATACCTTTTTTCCCCATTTCTAAATCTGTTTATCTCCTTGAACACAAGACTTAACTCCATCCCATTCCCTGGTAGTGCCCCTTTTCTTCTAAATCTGTACATTCTGTATTTTTTATTGTTCTTTCATGAACACACCTATTCCCTCTCAAATTTATGACTTCTTTAGTTGAGTTGAATACCCACACACAAACACAGACACACACACACACACACACACACACACACACACACACATACACACGGAGATGAAGAGGATCTGTGAGGAGTTGGGGAATGGGAATGAGTAAGATCAAAATGTATTGTGTTTTTTGTATGTACAACGATAATTCTGCACCTAAGATTCAAGAAATATCATGGAAGATAAGGAAGAAAGGTTTTAAGATCCAGATTTTAATATATGATCTCTCTCTTTCTCTCTCTCTCTCTCTCTCTCTCTCTCTAGATATATGTATATATATATATAGTTAATTATATATTTTATATAAATAAATATATAAATACATCTTATTCAGTTTCATTAATGTTACTTATATGTGCTCAATGTCAGGGTTGATCTCTTGGTATTGAATAGTCAAATAGTAGGATCTTCCCTAAGTAAGACTATTTCTTTTTCTTTTATCATTGAGTGAACTATTTTATCATATAGTTCTTTGTGGGTAGGGCAAAAAACCAGTCACATTCTTTACCAAAATATCACAAGGAATCAACTTGTGAGGTGCCCTATTCTCTTTAAGGTGTTGTTGGTGTAGTATCTGTTCAGGCCTTGTTGAAATATTATGGATGAAGCTTGCCTCTCATTTCTAGGAGGACACCATTTTACAGCAGATTTCCTGGTCTTCTGGATCTTAAAACCTTCATTCCTTACCTTCCATGATATTCTCTTAACCTTAGCTGCAGAGTTTTCTTTGTATAAACAAAAAAACACAACACAGTTTGATGTTATTCTTTTCCCTTCCCCAACTCCTCGCAAATCTTTCTCAACCATTCTATGTACACAACTTCACATACTTCTCTCTCTCTCTTGAGACAAACGAACAAACCAAGAGTCAAATTTGTATTAGCAAACTACTACTGAGGATGGGGCCTGCCCCACAGTGTGGTTGGTACACACAGTGTCACCCCTTTGAAGTAACTGAACTTCCTTCTCCCCATGTTTATCCGTCATGAACACCTTCTTGGGCTGGGTTAGGAATTTATATTTACTTCCTCTCTTCTATGCTAGGATTTTGTCTGGTTTGAGTTTGTGTAGGTCTTGTGATTGTTTTCATAGTCTATGTAAGTTCCTAGACATGTCTGCCCTGTTGTGTCTTGAAAATGCTGTCTCCTTGAGGTCATCCATCACTATGGCTCTTACAATCTTTCCATGCCTTCTTCTGTACAGATCTCTGAGCCCTGGCTTCAGAAGTGTGATATGGATACTGTATATAGAACTGGACATTTCAAAGTCCTCATTCTCTGCACATTGTCCATTTGTGGATTTCAGTGTTAGTTACTCTAAGAAGAAGCTTCTCTGATGAGAGCAGAGAATTGCATTTCTCTATAAGCATAACCATATACCATTAAGAGACAGTTTATTGTATGTTGTCTTAGCATAATAATAATAATAAAAGAGTTCCCCCTAGAACTCATGACTTAGCTAGCCTCAGGAGCTCAGCCTTGTTGACTGTCTGATATAGAATCCAACTTGTGGAGTGTGACAAATCCGACCAAATGTGGCCGATTATCTCCCACCACATTTGTTCTGTGTTTGCACCGATTCATCTTGCAGGCAGGGAGCTCTTGCAGGTTTCAGGGTTTGTAGCTGGTGTTATCTCTGAGAGCTGTTCTACCAACTGCTCGCCTGGGACACTCCGGTACGATCACCTCTGCTTTATAAGTTTACCAAACATGCAATTAATTGGAGAAATGAAGTGTTTTATTTGACAAAATGGATTGGATGGATACACTACAGTTGAGCTTCTTACCTAAATTTCAAAAAGGTATGAGAATATTGAGTATACCACCTTCCGGATACCAAAGTGCTTCGTTTTCTCAACAGAGTTCCCTCATTAAAAAAGCCATGTGCTCTATGATACTTAGCATATTCTCAATACATAAGAGTAGTTTCACAAAAAAATCAGAATTTTATAGTGGACAAAATGCATGAAACCTGTATTCCTGTTAGATTAAAAGTCCCCAGCTTATTCACACTGGGACATGTCCTGATGAGAATGCTTCATACACACCTGCTTGTGATTTTTAGACTCCTTGTATCAAAACAGCCCCGTGAGACTGCTATTTTTGTCTGTTTTTGTTTTTTTGAAACATCAAGTTCAAAATGTGAATAAGGATGATATCTTCAGATGTGCTTCAATCAAGTAATGACTTCTGAGCCATAGCGCAGATCAAGACTGGTGCTCTGGAGGTTTTCTCTTTTATTCGGCCCTGTTTGACAAGTGATCAAGTCAGTTTCTTTCCCATAACTTGTGAACCAGATTGTTCCATAACACTGTAGTTCATACCAGAGATGCTTTCCCGGGAATTTAAGAAAGGATTGATATTGAAGGGCCATACACACTAAAAGCAAATGCATCCTACTGTTTTAAGTCAGGGCTTACTGGAAGTAAGAGTTGTCTTTCATCTTTGTACTTTAGAGAAGAAACTAACGATCTATAACCCCTAACAGATTACAAAATAGTCAAATATCTTAAGCACCATTTGTAACGTCTATAAAGAATAGAAAGCAGGGAACAAATGAAGCTTTTCTCTGATAGTATTCTGCTACAGTAAGTGATCTTTCTGCAAGGGATTTAAGCCGAGCACCTGGAGAGAAGAGCCAGGATGAAGAGCAATTTGAAACTGAATTTATCTGGAGACAATGACACACAAGACAGCAGGCAGGATTATTTATAGGACCCTCCCACCTTGTTTCTTGCATAATAAATACACATTATATGGTAATGATGAGAGAGAAGCAACATGTACAGCCTTTATCTTTTATATGAAAATACATATAATGGAAGACAAAATACAGAACACAAAGCTCAAGGATAATGTCTGCCCCGAACCTCGCAGCTGCCTCCCTTGTGATTGCTTGCCTTGTGTTCTTTTCAGAAAGTAGTTTTCATGACTTAGATTGCAAAAACAGTGAGCTGGCTGGTTCTCAAAGTGGTGGGTCCTCTTTTCTTCACTTGGTGCTCTGCTAAAATAGCCCTCTAGGGAACTGTATTTGATCTAGGTGATCTGCCTGAGACTGTTGCAGTTCCCTGTGCCTTGAGCAGCAGTCCCAGAAGGAGGCATTTCAGTCGCAAAATCAAAATACTTAAAAAAAAAAAATGTCAAACAATTTGATCTATGACTCTATCCTGCTTAACTGGTGAATACATGTAATTAGTATTAAAAATGGAATCATTTTATTAATTAGAAAGAAGATAGAGAATTACACACGAGTGACTCTGGAGAACTCCATGCAACTCGGTGGAAATTCATTTGGTTGATACCAAGAGATAAAGAGTGGCTAAACTAAATTCAAATAACGTTTTTTTTTTTTTTAGTTTTAAACAAAAATGAAACGTATTATGTAATGTAATTGTATTTAAGCAAATTTATGATGGAAATGCTAAGTTTTAAGATACTAGGCTTTAATAATTTTTCTTTCAAATTTACAGTTTTCTTTTCAGTGCCAAACTCTAAATAAGTCATATATAATAAGTAAAATAACTCTGGGTCCCTCCTTAAGTTCATTCTTCTAGCCCCTTTCTTTTTCTAAGTGGTGGTGAACATAGAAATTGGTAGTCATTATAGATTTTGCCCATGTTTATATTTTCAATAATCTTCTTTACATTTTTTTCAATGATGCTTTTTTTCTGATTTAGAACAGAATAACTTTCCCTGTGCCTATCAATAATCAACAGAATAACTAGACAGTTTCAATTTTCATCTTGACTAATGTGGTAAAATAGAAAGTCCGCTGTAATCCTAATCTGTTCATTGCTGTCCATTTTACAGATTCAGGAATGGCTTTGCTTAAATTGCCAGACGCAGAGAGCAATTTCAGGTCAACTTGGAGATACAGGCAAAATGCCTCCTGTATCATCAGAATCCAAGGCATCTCCTGTGCCTGCCCCTGCAGAACCACCATCTCAGAAAGCACCCACGTGGGCCCCGGTAAAAGATAAAAAGAAGGAAACAGAAGTAAAAACTGAAACTGAAAAACTCATTCCAGAAAAAGAAACACCATTAACTGAGAAAACCCCTGCACCGGTCACCGTAGATCAAAAACCAGAAGAGAGTAAAGTAGAGAAAAGTAAAATTTCAGCCTGGAAAGAAAAGAAATCACCCTCTGAAGAGGAAAAACTACTCCCCGAAGATAAAACGAGAAAGAAGTCACTTGAGGAAAAGTCGGCCCCTGCTGAAGAAAAACCACCGCTTGAAGGAAAGAAGCCAACCCCCAGAGATAAGGAGTTACCCCCAGAAGTAAAGCCACTGGCCTTGGAGGGGGCAGAGAAACAGGAAGTACTTCAAGCTCAAGCACAAATTCCTGAAGAGCCCACAGCAGGGGTAGCCGCCAAGGCAGTGGGAGAAGAGGGGCAGCCCGAGGCCAGGACTGAAGATCTGCCCAGGGACACACCTCAGACTTTGCCCAAGGAAGGAGGCAGGGAAAGCGGTGCAGAGAAACCGCCACCGGCGGAAGGCAGCGCCAAGTCTGACCTGGTGGAGCCTGGCAAAGAAAAACCAGTAAGTTGTACTTCCTGCCATCGCAGTCCTGCGTGCGCAGTTCGCTAGGTTTGCTTAGTACCTCAGCCAGTCACAGATAGGATGGGAGTGAAAACCTTTAAACCGTGAATTACGTTTCAGAGAATTCTACCTTTTTTTTTTTTTTTGCACGTAAATGAAAAGCAATGGCGTTTTGATACCTTAGTCAACTTCCATAAAGCATAGAGACAAAATTCTCTAAATCATATAGAAAAATGAAAAGATTTTTCTCATGGTTTAGTGCCATTTGTCTAATATGGAGGATTGCTTATTATCTGCGTATAGTATAGAGTACCACGAACTTTACATACTCTTCCTTTAGTTAGAAGTTTCAAGAATGCCCCGTTTTAAGTACTATTTGCATAAGCAATTCTGCCATTTTAAAGGAACGCTGTTCTTTCAAAGTATATTAATTTTAATTAAAATCCAATTTTATTATGTATGTGTGTGTATACATACATAAGAATTAAAATGTAAGCTATTTAGAGAGCCACAAAATATCTTCTACTTAATTAAATAATTTAATTCATAGGGGACACTGATGGTTCACAGAAAAATTACCTATTGTACATCTATTATAACTGCAAGCAGGAATTACAACCGCAACCTTGAATTAGTTTATGGGAGTCTGCTATTTTGTGTTCACTATAACACATGCCTGCTGACCCATCTCCACCATCTTTCTTTCTCATTCTGATCATTTTTTGTCGGTCCCGCATTTGCCATTTTTAGGATTTTCTTTGCCAGTCTCCAATTTTTTCCCCTTGAGTTTCCTTCTTTTCTATCCAGAGAAGTCACATAATCAACCCTTAAAATCACGTGTGCACATGTGTCTCTAGTTTTGAGTTACAGAGCTGGGTTTTCGTGTATTCAAGTAGACAGTTTCCCTTTAGCCCTCACTGTAAATTCAAGCCCAACATGGCTGACTAATTGCTCGTTTTTCTGTAGAATCCCCTCTCCTTTTGGTTTTCTGTAATGTGACACCATCATTTACTTGCCTCTTGTCTTACAGACACAAATCTGAGGCCAGCTAGGTTTCTATTTCTCGGGACTTGGTCCTCCATACCATTACTGATCGTGAGGACATCCCTCTACTTGATGCTTCCTTGAGCTCCAGAGTTCGTTATTCTCATAATGGTTATAAATGCAGAGTCCATCGGTTTTCCTGGCACATTTTACTTACTCCTTGTGGGATCTCATTTAATCATTGTTTTACCTTGGTTTGCTGCTAGATAAATGCCCTAGCAATACAGGAAGGGTCAGTTCCCTAGTGATACACTTATGAGTTCTTTGCATTGTAAGTTTTATCAGCACATGACCTCTCTCTCTCTCTCTGTGTGTGTGTATGTGTGTGTGTGTGTGTGTGTGTGTGTTATTGTTTTATCTGCCACTAACCTACTATAGAAAAGGGTTTGGCCAACACTATATAAGTCATATTTCTTCTTTTACAAACCATCAGCTTTAAATTGACAGTGAACAAATGAAGTGATTGCTTTATTATACTTTGTCTTACAGCAGAATTTCCAGTTTTTCTTGAGGGTTTTGTAGGCCATGTGAACAATCAATGGGAAATTAAAGAACACCAGTACTATTGGTCCATTTCCAAAACCAAACTAAAGCTTTCTGTCTTGCATTTAAATGATATCATAAACATTGTAATGTTTTGTTTTCCCACCTTGACTCATTTGCACAGTGGTCAGGATGCCCATACGGTGTGTAGTCCTGCCTAAACAGATTAGCTATGGTTTTCACCCTGTGATATCTGCAATATAACTCCCCTGCAATGCTCACCATCCTCTACCAGTGAGAAAATCAAAGCCACAAACACTTCAGTGTGAGTCTTATTTTCAGTGAGTTTCTCCCCTCTGGAGCTGTCTGGACTTCTCTGTGTGTCTCTGCAGTGTCATCACCGAAACCCCACCTGAGTTGCTGACCTTTTGATGCCATTCCCTCCCCCCATGACTGAAAGTCATCCTCTCCTGCTGCAGAGCTCCCTATATTGACTCCTTTTTATATTGCCATTTAAAAATTCAAGTAATCCTTCTCATTTGCGTCTTACCACATTCAAGGTTCATTTTATGAAACCCATTTCCTCCATTCTAACCTACACGAATATTGATAATAAAACCGTCATGGTGGCTGTTTTAAAAATAGGGAAATTGGGTTTTATACTCCATATACAAGTATACTTGCAGAAAAATAGCAGAATGAGGATTGTAGTGCAGTTCTGATTATAAAGCCTCGATTCCCAGCCATTGCCTGTGAGTACTTTTGTCCTGTGACACTTCTGACATAAGCTCTTTCCTTAGTATCCATCTCTCTCTGTAACTTTTGCACACTCTTTTGGGTAATTTTCACAGCTTGTATGTTTGTGCTATTTTATAGTCATTTGTCAATTTGTCAGTTGTTTCAATATTGTGTTGTTTTTATTTCTTCGTTGCTGCATCATTTTGTTTCTTTTTTATTTTATTTCTATTTATTTTTTTATTTATTAAAAATTTCCACCTCCTCCCCACCTCCCATTTCCCTCCCACTCCCCCCACTTCCCCTCCCCCTCCCTCTCCAGTTCAAAGAGCAGTCAGGGTTCCCTGCTCCGTGGGAAGTCCAAGGTCCTCCCCACTCCATCCAGGTCTATAAAGGTGAACATCCAAACAAACCAGGCTCCCACAAAGCCAGTCCATGCAGTAGAATCAAAACCCAGTGCCACTGTCCTTGGCTTCTCAGTCGGCCTTCATTGCCAGCCACATTCAGAGTGTCCATTTTGATCACATGCTCCATCACTCCCAGTCAAGCTGGCCTTGGTGAGCTCCCATTAGATCAGTCCCACCATCTCAGTGGGAGGGCGCACCCCTCGCAGTTCTGACTTCCTTGCTCATGTTCTCCCTCCTTCTGCTCCTCATTTGGACCTTGGGAGCTAAGTCCAGTGCTCCAATGTGGTTCTCTGTCTCTATCTCCATCCATCGCCAGATGAAGGTTCTATGATGATATGCAAGATGTTCATCAGTGTGACTATGGGACAAGGCCAATTCAGGCACCCTCTCATTTGCTGCCCAAGGAGCAAGCTGGGGACATCTCCTTGGACCTGGGAACCCCTCTAGAGTCAAGTCTCTTATCAACCCTAAAATGGCCCCCTTAATTAAGATATCTACTTCCCTGCTCCCATATCCACCCTTCCTCCATCCCACCCATTCCATTCCCCCAAGCTCTCCCCAATCCTCCCCTTCTCCCTTCTCCCTCCCCATCTCCCCTTACACTCACCCCACCCCCACCCGCCCTGCACCCAACTTTTGCCTGGCAATCTTGTCTACTTCCAATATCCAGGAGGATAACTATATGATTTTCTTTGGGTTCACCTTAGTTAGCTTCTCTAGGATCACGAATTATAGGCTCAATGTCCTTTATTTATGGCTAGAATCCACTTATGAGTGAGTACATACCATATTCCTCTTTTTGGGTCTGGGTTATCTTACTCAGTAAAGTGTTTTCTATTTCCATCCATTTGAATGCAAAATTCAAGATGTCATTGTTTTTTACCGCTGAGTAAAACTCCAATGTGTATATGTTCCATACCTTCTTTATCCATTCTCATATTGAGGGGCACCTCGGTTGTTTCCAGGTTCTGGCTATCACAAATAGTGCTGCTATGAACATAGTTGAACAAATGCTTTTCTAGTATGATAGGACATCTCTTGAGTATATTCCCAAGGGTGGAATTGCTGGGTCCTGAGGTAAGTTGACTCTCAGTTTCCTGAGAAACCACCACACTGATTTCCAAAGTGGTTGCACAAGTTTGCATTCATTCTGTTTCTTTACTCAAATTTTCAAAATGTGCTTATTAAGCAAAATTAAATGAATATATATTAAAATGAATATATTTAAATATGATATATATTTGAAAGTATACCTCTTTAAACTTTTCAGTTTCATATTTTTAAGTCATGTTGCTATAAAATTCTGTATTTTCACCTATATATCCAGGCCAGAAACTTTCCTTCTTTGTTCCATATTCTCTACTGAGAACTGCTGTCCTCCAGATGGAAACTAGAGTTAGCATAGCTTTTAATGTGGGCTTTGATTTCTGTTACAATAGCTGAAGGGCTAATAGTCAAGCTGTCTATTGGTACAGAATGCAGTGCCTGCCTTGTTTTGTGATGTAGTTGCTCATGTTTGCTCTCCATCCTAACGCAAACTTTCTATGCAGGATGAAGATAGGCCCTGTGCTCCATCAGCTCACTTAAAATCACGTCTAGAAAAACTAACCAAGCACTTACAGTCATCTGTCTTTGCACATTTTTATATGAATCCTAGAGCTCAATTCCTAACACTTACATCTTCAGAAACTTCTGTTCTCCTCCAGTGTGGAGTGCCTCTGGCTTCAAGTCAAGTCTTGAGGAAAGAGCACAGACATGCTTGAAAGAACATATGTATTTTTGTACATTTTCTCCCACTAGGTTCCCCACGAGGTACAGCACGGTCAAGAGTTTCAGATGGCGCTGACTCATTACTGCTTCTCTCTGACGCATCTACTGTCCAGTGATGGCTGTGGGAGGCTCTCGGGAAAGGGGATGCTCCAATCCCTACTGTTTGTTAGTGGGTTTAAAAAACTGAAGCTTAGCTCCTGAAATTTCTGAGTGGTTATTTTCAATACATAGATTAGCAAAGCTCAAGTAACTAAAATTCTATGCATGGAAGTCATGCCATATGCTGTAGGCCAGTGTGATGAATTGCATACTGATCACTGGGAACAGACAGGCAATGTTTCTTTAGGGGAATGAAAGTAACACTGAGATTTTAAAGCTGAGCCTGCAGCATTGCTGTTCTCACCACCTGACTTTATCAAAGGTGATAAAACTTTCATACAGAAGTAACCTAACTGAAATGGTATTCTCATTTTAGAATTTCGGAGGTGATTCTAAACAGTATTAAGTGTAAAAAGTGAAACAGAGAATACAAATATCAATTTCCTGATGGTTCAAATAAAAAGGAGTGAATTTTTAAAAGTCAGTAACAGTTTATATTTTAGATATTTTATAACATTATATATGTGTGTGTTCTACGTTATTCGAAAGTATGTTTGTTACAGTTTTATATATAAATATTATTTCACTAAATAGATTAATACTTTTCTTGAAATAAGTATACTGTTACAAATTTTTGAAGCACCTGAGAAAAAGTTTCTAATCTTTTAGTCTGATGTAATGAGAAATTGGTGATAAAATGGCCCACGTTATGTTGCCTTCACGTGAATCCTTTGACCATATCTATGGTACTTCAAACATCGATTATAAAGTTCAAAAATTAGAGAAAACAGGATACATCTTACAGACTGTAATCTACAACTAATTTCCCCTTGTTTATAAGTGTTATTAATGAAGCAGTGTCAAGGACCAGTTAGCTACAAGAAAGACAAATGGTTGCCAAGTCCTGATATGTCCAATTCCTTTTTAAAATGATTAATAGCAGTAATAAAGATTAATTTGTAGGTGCCTTTAATCAGTGAAGCAAAGAACCTGATCTGATGTTTCACAGCTAAACTATGTAGTTAATTAGAACACATTATTATGTGAGATTATATAAACCTAAATCTAGTTAATGGGGTAAAAATTAACATTCCAAAGTGTACCCTGGTGAGCACGACTCTCCTTTGAACCTTCCAGTGAGGTGCATTAGAAACAACTAATTGATGCTCCATCGGTCACTCCTACCATGTTGCTTAGAATAAGCCTTTGCACACTTGCTACCGTTTAATACAGAATAGAGAGAGCGACACAGCAGCAGCCTCACCAAACATGGTGAGGGAAGCCCGTGAAGCACGTGGGATAGACAGGACCAGAAGGGCTGATAAGGGAGAGCATAGTGCAAAGGGGTGAAGGATGCGCAGGCACAGAGGAAAGCCATACACCGGCAGGAGCTAACACATAATATTTTGTGCTAGCACTTCATGAATTCCCTTTTGCTTTTCTTTCTTACGTTCTATGTATCTAGTCTTAACCTTATTTTTAAAAAAATGTCAGGACAGACTTCAAAAATCTATATTATAAACTATCAAAATTAAATTATGGAAGATCATATTTATGGAAGATCATATTTTGGCTGATTTTCCTCCATAACCGTGGTGTTTGCTGCGAATGATGGGAGGCGGCATTAACTGATGAAGTCATCCAGACTCTCTTGTGCTTCCCAACTCTCTCTGTGTCGTCTTGTGGGATGTGGTGAGGTAGTGCTGCCCACTCAGGAAGACTGTGTATTAGTGGGCTGCTGTGATGGCAGCTAGTTTGTTTCTGTCTCTGTCTGTTGTTCTATAAGGAGAGAGAGGAAGGAGACGTGGGTGGCCGAGGAGGCAGGAGGGATCTGGGAGGACATCCGAGTCAGAATTACTGTTGCTGTGATGAAACACTGTGACCAAACACTGTGACCAAGAAACTGGGGAGGGAAGGGTTTATTTCATCTTACACTTCTAAGAACATTATCACTAAGGAAAGTCAGGACAGGAACTCACACAGGGCAGGAACCTAGAAGCAGGGGCTGATACAGAAGCCACGGAGGGGATCTGCTTACTGGTTTGCTCCCCATGGCTTGCTCAGCCCAGGACCACCAGCTTAGGGATGGCACCACCCACAAATGGCTGACCTTCCCCCATCAATCACGAGTTAAGCCTTACAGCTGGGTCTTATGGAGGCATTTCCTCAGTTGAGGTTCCCTCCTTTCAGATAACTCTAGTGTGTGTCAAGTTGAAATACAGCTATTCAGCACAGAGGAGTTGGAAGAGGAAAATCCATAATCGGAATATATTTATGAAAAATTTTTCAATTAAAGAAAAAGAACCAACACACGCAAGAGAGGAAAAGGGAGAGGGAGAAAGAGAGATTGCTTGCTGTATGATCATGACAAGAATCCATGTTCAGACTCCAGCACCCATGTAAGAAATAAGTATGGCCTTGTATACCTGTAATATCAGTCCTGGGGTAGGGAGTTGGGACAGGACTGGCAGAGACCAGAAGATTTCTTGGGCTCACTGGTCATCTAGCATAGCCAAAAACAACAAGCTCCAGGTCCAATGAATGACTCTGTCTCAAGGCAATTAGACAAAGAATGATAGAATAGAACACCCAATGTTCTCCTCTGCCCTCCAAGGATGGACAGACGACAAACAGACACATACACACATGAGAAACAGAGACAGATACTTTTTCTTTTAACCATTTGAACTTCATCACAAAGTAAATGTATTGCTATAGATAATTCGTTTGAGGAAAGTGAAATTAAAATGTAAAGAGGCCTCATAGAATTAATGAAAGAAAATCAATTGAAATTGAGAATTAATATGTAATTTAAATTTAGTCTAAATGAAAACTAACCTAAGTTAGTGAATATTAACTGTTCTCAATTTTGTCCTCATATAAAGATTATTTGAAAATATCATATTATGCCAGGTGGTGGTGGAAAACACATTTAACCTCAGCACTCCACAGGCAGAGGCAGACAGATCTCTGTGAGTTCGAGGCCAGCCTGGGGTATAAAGCAAGTCCCAGAATGGGCTACAAAACTACCCAGAAAAACCCTGTCTCAGAAAGCAACAACAACAGCAGCACCAAGCAAACAAAAACTATCATCACATAGCTGAATTTTCCCATATTTATTCCTCAATTATTGATGGTTATTTAATGATAATGGTGATTGGTGAAGTCACGTGATTAGTTCAGCTCTAATACCTTTGCCTGTGTCTTCTCCCCTCCACTAGGAAAAGGAAGAGGACAAGTCCGAGACCTCCAGTTCTCAGCAGCCCAAGAGCCCACAAGGTCTGAGTGACACGGGCTACTCTTCTGATGGAATATCAGGTTCTCTTGGTGAGATCCCAAGTCTTATACCAAGCGATGACAAAGATTTGCTCAGAGGACTCAAGAAGGACTCTTTCTCACAAGAAAGCAGCCCTTCCAGCCCCTCGGACCTAGCAAAGCTGGAAAGCACAGTACTATCCATTTTGGAAGCTCAGGCGAGTACACTGGGTGACAAATCAGAAAAGAAAGCCCAGCCCCAGAAGGTTTCTCCTGAGCAGCCTCAGGACCAGCAAAAGCCTCAGATCCAGTCTGAAATGCTGGATATGGCTGTTTCAGAAGAAGAGGTCAAAGAGAGCCAAGAAAAGAAAGAAAGTTCAAGAAGGGAGAGCCAACAAGGCTTTCCTCCCAGGAAGGACCATAAAGAAAAACCTGGGCTGGTTGATGACCTAAGTCCAAGAAGAGCATCCTATGATTCCGTGGAAGACAGCAGCGAAAGTGAAAACTCCCCTGTCGTACGTCGAAAGCGGAGAACTAGCGTTGGCTCCTCCAGCAGCGATGAGTATAAACAGGAAGACAGTCAAGGTTCGGGGGAAGAGGAGGACTTCATACGAAAACAGATTCTCGAAATGAGTGCGGATGAGGATGCTTCTGGCTCTGAGGACGATGAGTTCATCCGGAGTCAGCTCAAGGAGATTGGCGGTCTTCCTGAGAGCCAGAAGCGGGAAGAAGCAAAAGGCAAAGGGAAAAGCCCAGTGGGGAAGCACAGACGGCTGACTCGCAAGAGCACCGCTAGCTTTGATGATGACGCAGGGAGACGTCATTCCTGGCATGACGAGGACGACGAAACATTTGACGAAAGTCCTGAGCTCAAATTCCGAGAAACTAAAAGTCAGGAGAGCGAAGAACTTGTCGTTGCTGGAGGCGGAGGGTTACGTCGTTTTAAGACGATCGAGCTCAACAGCACGACAGCAGATAAATACTCCGCGGAGTCGTCTCAGAAAAAAACGACTTTGTATTTTGACGAAGAGCCAGAATTAGAAATGGAAAGTCTGACAGACTCACCTGAGGACAGATCGAGGGGAGAGGGGTCCTCTAGTCTCCATGCATCCAGCTTCACTCCTGGCACGTCCCCGACGTCAGTGTCGTCACTTGACGAGGACAGTGACAGCAGCCCCAGCCACAAGAAAGGGGAGAGCAAACAGCAGCGCAAAGCGCGGCACCGGACGCATGGCCCTCTCTTGCCCACCATCGAAGATTCTTCGGAGGAGGAAGAATTGCGAGAGGAGGAAGAACTGCTAAAAGAGCAAGAGAAGCAGCGGGAGTTGGAGCAGCAACAAAGGAAAAGTTCTAGTAAGAAATCAAAGAAAGACAAAGATGAACTTCGAGCTCAGAGAAGGAGAGAGAGACCTAAGACGCCACCCAGTAATCTCTCTCCCATTGAGGATGCGTCTCCCACGGAAGAATTGCGCCAGGCGGCCGAAATGGAGGAGCTCCACAGGTCCTCTTGTTCTGAGTACTCACCTAGCATAGAATCAGACCCGGAAGGATTTGAAATCAGCCCCGAGAAAATAATAGAAGTCCAAAAAGTTTATAAATTGCCTACAGCTGTGTCTTTGTACTCACCCACAGATGAGCAATCTGCGATGCAGAAAGAAGGTGTTCAGAAGGCCCTGCGGAGTGCTGAGGAGATGTACGAAGAAATGATGCAAAAAACCCACAAATACAAATCTTTCCCAGCTGCAAATGAGCGAGACGAAGTGTTTGAAAAAGAGCCGCTGTACGGGGGCATGTTAATAGAGGACTACATTTATGAATCTTTAGTAGAGGACACATACAATGGATCTGGAGATGGCAGTCTGCTCACAAGGCAAGAGGAACAAAATGGATTTCTGCAGCAGAGAGGGAGAGAGCAAAAAATAAGACTCGCCGAACAGATTTACGATGATCCTATGCAGAAAATCACAGACCTCCAGAAAGAATTTTATGAGTTAGAAAGCTTACATTCCATTGTGCCTCAAGAAGACATAGTCTCGAGCTCGTATATCATTCCAGAAAGCCACGAGATAGTGGATCTGGGCACCATGGTAACTTCTACCAGCGAGGAAAAGAAGTTATTAGATGCTGATGCTGCCTATGAAGAACTTATGAGGCGGCAGCAGATGCAGGTAACAGATGGAGCCAGTCCTCCACAGACCACCATCGGGGATGACATGACAGAGTCCACTATGGATTTTGACAGGGTGCAAGATGTGTCTTTGACATCAAGCATCCTTTCTGGAGCATCTCTTACAGACTCAACCAGCAGCGCCACTCTCTCTATCCCAGATGTTAAGATAACCCAACATTTTTCAACGGAAGAACTTGAAGATGAATATGTAACTGATTATACCAGAGAAATTCAAGAAATAATTGCCCATGAGTCGCTGATATTGACCTACTCCGAGCCTTCAGAAAGTGCGGCATCTGTCCCCCCCTCCGACACACCTTCTCTTACGTCATCGATTTCTTCGGTCTGCACCACGGACAGCTCCTCACCCGTTGCTCCCCTGGACAGCATAACGGCTGCTTATACAGAGCCAGCGGGCGGAATAAGTAAACTTGAAGACTCTGAGGAAATTTCTTCCTCGACTTATTTTCCAGGCAGTGTCATAGACTATCCGGAAGACATAGGCGTGTCCTTAGATCGGACCATCATGCCTGAAAGTAGAACTGGTGGTGAACATGCTCTGATTTCCTTCTCTAGTATGGCCCCTTCAGTCACAGAAACTGTAGGAGCTAAAACTGACAGGCCACACGCTGACACCGTGTCCACGGACTTACCTACATCTGAAAAAGATCCCATAAAAGGCAAGACAGAAACTGGGGATGGAATTATTCTAGAGGTTTTGGATGCTTACAAGGATAAAAGGGAAGAGTCTGAGGCTGAGTTTGCAAAAATCAGCTTACCTGAAACTGGGTTTGTCCAAACACCTCCTTCTGTAATAGCCCCTCAGATGACAGAACAGCCAGTATCTCCATATTCTGTATCTGGAAAGGTCTCGGGTCAGGAAAAGCCCACATATAGGTTACCATCGGCCGGTCCTCCTGTTTCTACCCACCCACCTAAATCTCATCCATTTTTCCGGAGTTCGTCTTTGGACATATCGGCCCAGCCACCCCCTCCTCCCCCTCCACCACCTCCTCCCCCTCCACCACCTCCTCCTCCCCCTCCTCCACCATTGCCCCCAGCAACTTCACCTAAGCCAACCATTTATCCTAAAAAAAAGTTGGCCGCTGAAGCTCCAGCGACTCCGATGACTATTGCTACAACCCACGTTGATGCTGTTACTACAGTGGAGGTCGCAGCCGCTCGGAGGAGTAATGGACTACCTGCAACCAAAATATGTGCCGCCGCACCACCTCCTGTCCCTCCGAAGCCTGCTTCAATTCCAACTGGGCTTGTGTTTACACATCGGCCAGAACCAGTCAAACCTCCAATTGCCCCCAAGCCAGTAGTTCCTCAGATTCCGGTAACTGTACCGAAAACAACAGACACATGCCCCAAACCAACAGGTCTGTCTTTAACTTCAAGTATGTCCCTAAATTTAGTGACTTCAGCAGATTACAAATTGCCTTCCCCTACCTCTCCACTTTCCCCACACTCTAATAAATCCTCACCAAGGTACTCCAAGTCTCTAATGGAGACATATGTGGTTATCACATTGCCCTCTGAACCTGGGACTCCAACAGATTCTTCTGCTGCCCAAGCCATTACCAGCTGGCCCTTGGGATCGCCCCCAAAAGATCTGGTTTCCCTTGAAACTGTGTTTTCTGTAGTTCCTCCTATGACAACTACAGAAATTCCAAGTTCTTCACAGCCAGCCCTGTATGCACCAGGAGCTATGGAGGCATTTTCTTCTGCCCCTGTTGTAACACCATCTCTATTTCAAGGAGCTCCAATGTCACTTACACAGTTCCTTCCAACAGAAGGATCAAAAGCCCAGGTTTCTGCGACCAGAAGTGCGGCCCCCAGCGTCGCTCCCAGAAGTGTTTCCATACCCATTCCGCCAGAGCCTCTTGCTCTAGACAGGCGTCCGTACAAGGAAAATGAAAAGTTGCCACTTACTGGTGATGCCATTGATTTACGTACAATACCAAAAACAGAAGCTGAAGCAGCTGAAAAATGTATGGATCTTTCCGCCTCTGCAGTGGAGGTGAAAAGACAGCCCACGACAAATGAAGTTTATGGGCGACAAATCAGCGCCATCCAACCTTCTATCATAAATCTCAGCGCGGCTGCCTCTTTAATAACTCAAGTCACCCTAGACTCCGAGACGGTGGCGATTGTCACAGGCACCGATACTACAACTTACGCAACAGTCACGGGAAGCCAAGTGAGCGGAGAGCGTGCAGGGGCCGCCCCGCTCCAGCTTACTGTATTGAAACATACCGAGTCACCCTATAGGATAGCAAGCGGCCAGACATTTCCCACGAGCAGAGACGAAGCACCAATCAACTTATCGCTAGGTCCCTCAGCTCAGGCAGTGACACTGGCGGTAACGAAGCCTGTCACCGTGCCTCCTGTCGGTGTCACCAATGGGTGGACTGACGGCATTGCATCTCAGGGGGTCGCGGATGGAGAAGTGGTAGACCTCAGCACGTCCAAGTCTCATAGGACGGTTGTAACAATGGATGAATCTACTTCAAATGTGGTGACCAAAATAATAGAAGATGACGAGAAGCCTGTGGACTTGACTGCGGGAAGAAGGGCTGTGTGCTGTGACATGGTTTATAAGTTGCCTTTTGGAAGGAGCTGCACGGCGCAGCAGCCTGCCACTACCCTTCCCGAAGACCGCTTTGGTTATCGGGACGATCACTATCAGTACGATAGATCAGGGCCGTACGGTTACAGAGGGGTTGGTGGAATGAAACCTTCCATGTCTGATACTAACTTAGCAGAAGCTGGACATTTTTTCTATAAAAGTAAGAATGCTTTTGATTATTCTGGAGGAGCTGATGCAGCCGTAGATCTGTCTTCAGGGAGAGTGTCGACAGGTCAGTATGCTACAGCCATAGACCCTGCCTTGAATTGCCATTACGGTGTTATGCATCTCGTTTCAGGATGAGAAAAATACCCCCTGCTCTGGTTTTATTTACATTTTTGCTTTCTGTGGATGTCTTGGCAATTATATTTTACAGTACACGCGCATTTTTGTTTCTTCGTGGTTCTTGCTGTTGTCGCTGTCTGCATGTGCCTGCATGACCAACGTTGCTTTTCCTCCGCGCCTAATTAGGTTAACCTGTGGATTTGCATGCGGTCCCATTCATTGCGTTCATCGAGATAAAAGGGCCTTCAGACCCAAACGGCATCATTCATTCTGAGAACTGGACTATAACTCTACCCTGTATTTCAGGTGAGGTAATGGATTATTCAAGCAAGACGACAGGTCCATACCCAGAAACACGCCAAGTCATTTCAGGAGTTGGGATTAGTACCCCACAGTATTCCACAGCGAGAATGACTCCTCCTCCAGGACCCCAGTATGGTGTGGGAAGTGTTTTGAGGTCATCTAATGGTGTTGTCTATTCTTCAGTAGCAACTCCAATCCCCGCCACGTTTGCCATCACCACTCAGCCCGGCTCCATTTTCAGCACCACAGTCAGGGATTTGTCTGGTATTCATACAACAGATGCACTGACTTCCCTATCAGCCCTGCATCAGAGCCAGCCAATGCCTCGATCGTATTTCCTAACGACAGGTGCATCAGAACCGGACATCTCAGTGACCGGCATTGACATCAGTGCCGGTCTGCAAACGATGACTATGGAAACGCTTCCCGCTGAGACGATGGACTCCGTCCCTGCTCTAACCACGGCGTCTGAAGGGTTCTCTGAGGTGGTAGGAGAGGAAAGCGCTCTTTTAATGGTCTCTGATGAAGATAAGCAACAGCAGCAGCTTGACTTGGAGCGAGAGCTCCTGGAGCTGGAGAAAATTAAGCAACAGCGCTTCGCTGAGGAGTTGGAGTGGGAACGTCAGGAGATCCAGAGGTTCCGCGAGCAGGAAAAGATCATGGTGCAGAAGAAGCTGGAGGAGCTGCAATCTATGAAGCAGCACCTCCTATACCAGCAAGAGGAAGAGCGGCAGGCCCAGTTCATGATGAGGCAGGAGACGCTAGCTCAGCAGCAGTTACAGCTTGAGCAGATTCAGCAGCTGCAACAGCAGCTCCACCAGCAGCTTGAGGAGCAGAAGCTCCGCCAGATCTACCAGTACAACTATGACCCCTCCGGAAACGCCTCTCCGCAAACCACCACCGAGCAGATCTACCAGTACAACTATGACCCCTCCGGAAACGCCTCTCCGCAAACCACCACCGAGCAGGCCATGTTGGAGGGTCAGTACGCTGCTCCGGAGGGCAGTCAGTTTTGGGCCACTGAAGAGGCCACCACCACAGCTTCTACTGTGGTGGCCATTGAAATACCACAGAGCCAAGGATGGTACACGGTTCAGTCCGATGGGGTGACTCAGTACATCGCTCCGCCCGGCATCCTGAGCACTGTTTCAGAGATACCGCTGACAGATGTTGTGGTAAAAGAGGAGAAACAACCGAAAAAGAGAAGTTCCGGGGCTAAAGTTCGGGGGCAGTATGAAGAGATGGGGGAAAGTCTGGCAGACGATCCGCGGAACTTGAAAAAGATAGTGGACAGTGGCGTCCAGACTGACGATGAAGAAAGCGCTGACCGGAGCTACGCCAGTAGGAGGAGAAGAACTAAAAAGAGCGTTGATACCAGCGTCCAAACTGATGACGAAGATCAGGATGAATGGGATGTGCCTTCTAGGTCAAGGAGAAAAGCCCGTCCCGGGAAGTACGGAGATAGCACCACAGAGGGTGACAAGACCAAACCCCTCTCCAAAGTCTCCAGTGTAGCAGTTCAGACAGTCGCAGAGATATCTGTGCAAACTGAACCATTGGGAACCATAAGGACACCTTCCATACGAGCGCGGGTGGATGCCAAGGTAGAAATAATTAAACACATTTCAGCACCTGAAAAGACTTACAAAGGGGGCAGTTTAGGATGTCAAACCGAAACAGATTCAGACACACAGAGCCCTCCATATCTGGGTGCCTCCTCTCCACCCAAAGACAAGAAACGCCCAACACCTTTAGAGATCGGGTACTCCTCAGCTCACCTTCGGGCAGACACCGCAGTCCAGCTGGCTCCTTCCCCACCCAAATCTCCCAAGGTCCTCTATTCACCCATCTCCCCACTGTCACCAGGCAAAGCATTAGAATCAGCCTTTGTACCTTACGAAAAACCCCTCCCCGATGACGTAAGTCCACAGAAAGTGCTCCATCCAGACATGGCTAAAGTGCCCCCAGCAAGTCCTAAGACAGCCAAGATGATGCAGCGTTCTCTGTCTGACCCCAAGCCTCTGAGTCCTACAGCAGACGAGCGGTCCAGGGCTCCTTTTCAGTATTCCGAGGGCTTCACGGTAAGAGGGGTTGCTTTCAGTTAGAAGACAATGGATGCGTAGATGTTAATCATGTGTTTGCAGACTTAGAAGGTAACAAAGCTAGCACATAGAAAGTGAAAGACTGAAATTGAGGGAGGACTATTGCGTTATAAATGTGTGTCGGGGGTGGGGGGGTGGGGAGGACCTCATTCTCTTAAAAATGCCAACGGAAAAAAAAGGTTTCTTCTAATATAAAGATCTCTGAATCGTAGGCTGATTTCAGTGTGTTCAGCTAATATTCATTTCCCCACCTGATGGAATAAAATACTGAATATAAATAAATAAGGCAAAGGATGAAGCATGACCATGCATTTAGACCAGGAGTGTTAGAACTCATGACTGGAGTGTTGGTCAAATAAACGTGTGTAGTCAGTCTCTTCTCCCAGTCAGGATATTGACCTTAAAAGCTTAGCATAAGCTTACTGCCCAAGATGTGAGCGGATGAAAGTAAGATCCACCAGGTCCACTTCATCCAAGTTTACTTTGTTTGGGGCAACTTTCTTCAACTAATCTCAGATGAGCCTAATAGAAGTGCTAATAAACGCATAACGAATGTTTATGTGTGTTTCAATAGAGATCATTTTATGAGTCATAATTGTGTCTCAAGGGAAGAAACAGATAAATATGTTGTACATATAGACATAAATGGAGATGAGAAATGTTGATTAACCACAATAGCAGGCATATTGTAATTAATAAAATCATTATGGTTTAATTATCAGTTAAGCTTTGAACAAATCTTATACCACTCTTCCACTGATCTCCACATGTTCAACAACAGCCGTGGTCTATAAAATATAATATAATTTTTTAAATATACTATTATATTATATATTAAAATGCATATTATGAAATATACACCTGTAAGTCTGTTTGTAGTTATATAGGCATATTTACAATAATATATATTAAAATTTCACATCTAAATTTTCCATATTTATAACAGAATTTTATTATCTTCTGTATTTCCTTCTTAAAGAGTATTGTGAAGTAAATGCTAAAGACACAAGTAAGACTGGGCACAGAGGCCAGCGCTACAATCAGACAGACACTTGTGCATTGAGATAGCTTTGCTTCTGAAATCTGTTAGATGTCACGTGAAAGTGACCTTTAAGTAATTTCAGTGTGTATTTATTTTTTTACACCTATGACCTATAAAATCACATAAATAATAAAATGTGAAAACATTATGTTTTGAACTTTTAAAATAGTGTACCAAGCTTTGGTCATTAGAAAGAGTATCTTTGCCAATTGATGCATTGATCATTTGCTCAAATTGTGGCTTTAAACTTTTAATTCAGTTATGGCAGATATTCAAGCTATCAGAATTTTCCTCACATTGTTCCCTTTGCACTTGCAAACAGACAAAGAAGAATACAATGAGTATCGTGAGTTTATTAAGTAAAATTACCAATAATAACTAAGTCAGAAATATCCTAAGTTCACTGAATCTCAGAGCACAATTCCAACTTCTTCTAGTTGGTCAACTTCAATATCTACTAAATATGGGATAACTACATACGTGTTATTGATATTGCTATTGGTAGGACCCTTCATAAGCAGCAGAAGGTAAGTTTTATAGTATATAAAAGTCTGGACCAGCATCTCTGCTTCCAATAGGTCAGGAAAGTTTCCAGGGAGGAGACTCTGAGACATGAAGGCTGAACTCTGCTGGGTCACGAAGAGAAAGATGAAGGTCATTCCAAATAGAGGACAAAAACATCCATGTATTCAGATTAATAGCCAGTTATACATCTAAAGGGGGGCAAACAAGGTTTACGTTCAATAAAACTGGACTGGTTAGTGAGGGGGTCAATTACATGGAATCTAATGTGCCAGATTAGAGAATCTATGTTTGCTTCCTTTGTCTGTGCGAAGCTGGATCAAAGTCACCATCATTTTGTGTTCAGCCTTTGGACGCCGTTGTTCTGTTCCTTCCTAAGGAGTTCTCTAAAGGCGCAAGTAGAGCAGATTTTGATTGATTAAAATCTATGTAAGCAAATACATTATTTGCTTCACAATTTAAACTCATTAGTAGAATCTTACAAAGTTCAGTCAATACTAGGCATTTACTTTTCATTGAAGTTATTTTTTCCTGCAGTATATTATTGTGATTGTGGCTTCCCCTCCCTCCCTTGTCTCCTGCAGATCCTCTCCACATCCCCACCCATCTAGCTTCATACATTCTCTTCCCTCTTTTTAGAAAAAAAGCAGGCAGAAAAGAACAGAAAAAATAAGGAAAACATGAAAAACACATACAGAGAGAGACACACACAAAGAAAATAAAATCCATGAAAACATAAAATAAGAAACCATAATATATGAACAGAAGACTAATAAGGTTTAAAAAATGCCCAAACACATAAATATGAGATTGAAAAAAAATCTCCAAAATGAATGTTGAGTTGGTTTTATGCCATCTATCTACTGGTGGGCATGTGACCTGCCCTTAGTTATGGTTCGTGTACCCGGTGAAACTGCACTGAAGGACACAGATTGTTCCTTTGCGAACAGCTGTCAGTGGTCAGTGATGTAGCTCGTGTCCCCTTCTACTCTCAGCATTGGGACCCCATCTAGCAGAGTCTCTGCAAGTGTGCGTCAGCCCCGCTGTGTCTGGAAGACACTATTTCCTTGGAGTCCTCCATCCCCGCCGGCTTTTACAGTCTTTCCATCTTGTCTTTCTTGTGCCCCGAGGAGAGATTTTTGATAGAGACATCCCATTTAGGGCTGAGTTTTCTGCAGTCTCTCACGGTCTGCACATTTTCCAGTTGTGGGTTCCTGTATTAGTTTGCATCTACTGTAGAAGGAAGTTTCTCTGATGATAACTCAGGGCACTAATCAAGAGGTGTAGGAGAAGGTTGTTTGCAGTCATCTTATTGCTATGTTCTTTTAGCATAAGAGTGAGTACTACTGGGTTTTCCCCTAGGCCCAAGCCCTATCTACTGTCAGCTTCTTGGACGTATCAAGTATGGGCTCCATCTCACTTAGTAGACCTTACAGTTACTTTAACAAGTTATGCATCGCGCAGTTTATCATGCAGGCAAGTCATCACTGTAGACCTCAGGACTTGTATCTGGGCTAGTGGTTAGCAATCCCTCGGAAGTGTGCAAAGCACCTTCCAGTACTATTAACTTTTGGCAACAGGGATGAAAACAGCTCTAGGCAGACACCGGGTTGACTTCTCCATGGTCTATGAGAGATGTAAGCGTGATCTTCAGCAATAGGGCCTTCCCATCAGTTTATGGAGAATAAACAATAGCTCTCGCAATAGCCTGAGTATCTTAGGGGCTTCAATGGGGCTCCTTTGTTCAAAAACTTAATTAAATGAAACCAGTTCCTTGCTCTGGTTAGAGGTTGGTGGCAAAAGATGTCTAGTAGCAGCCCTGTCGTCTCCCCATTCATTTGGTGATTGCGTTTATATTTTATGTTTATATGTTAAGAAGCTTCCATTGTATGTAGGTTTCATCCATTTACCTGTGAATTCCATGATTTCACTTTTTTGGCACAGAGAGGGTGGACTTTGGGGTGGGTACCCCCTCTTGGTTTTAGGAAGAGGTGTGGTGCTACCAGCTGCTAGGAAAATAAAGGTGTTACCACAGATGGGATAGATCAGAAGGCTCCTGGAATAACCTTCATGTCCAGGGCAGCTCAAAATCCCCAATGGATCTGTGAGGGCCAGCCTCTGAGGAACAGTCTCTCTGTCCTCCATGATGGAACCACAACAGGAGTCAACTGAACCCTGGCAGAAGTGTCAGTGATGTTAGAGAGAATCCTTATGTAGACCAGATGTCTCTTCCTTTTTTGTTTACATCTAGTGCATGACTTTGCTGGCCTCAAATTGCCAATCCTCCGCCTAATGATGATGCCAGCTAAGAACCCAAGCAATAGAGGAGAGGGTGCCTGAAATGGCCTTGCCCTGTAGTCAGATTGATGAATGTCGTAGATGTCACTGTAGAACCTTCATCCAGCAACTGATGGAAACAGAGTCAGAGACCTGCAGTGGAGCACTGAACTGAGCTCCCAAAGTCCAGCTGAAGAGTGGGAGGAATGAGAATATGAGCAAAGAGGTCAACACCAGGATGGGGACACTCACTGGAACAGTTTACCTGAGCTAATGGGAGCTCACCTACTCCAACTGGATCTGGAAGGAACCAGCACAGGACCAAACTAGTCCCTCTGAATGTGGGTGACAGTTGTATGGCTGGAGCAGACTGTGGGGCCACTGGCAGTGACACCAGGATTTATCCTTACTGCTTGTACTGGCTTTTTGGAACCCATTCTCTTTGGTTGGATACCTTGCTCAGCCTAGATATAGTAGCGAGGGCCTTGGACCTTCCCCAAAGCAATGTGCCTCATGCTCTCTGAGTAGTGGTTGGGGTGGGAGGTAAGTGTAGGGAATGGAAACTGGGATTGGTATGTATAATGAAAAAAGACAGTTTGTTTTCTTTTTTAAAAAAAAAAAGAAAAGAAAAAGGAAGGAAGGAAGAAAAAAGAAAGAAAGAGAAAAGGAGATGTAGGAAAAGAAAGGTAATCTAATGTCAGTCATGTTTGTATTTAAGAAAAGAGACCGTTGGGGAGGGGTTAGTTTTTTTATTCTGTGATTTTTATATTTTCTATTTTTTAATATTTGTCTTTCTATGTGGCCTAGGCCTGGAACTCACTGTGTAGCCTCGACTAGTCTCAATTTTGCAGAAATCCCCCTGCCTCAACTTCTCAAGCACTGAGATTACAGTCACAGGTCATCATACCAGACCTAAGAACTTCTTTCTAATCTCAAGTAGCATCCCAGAGGAAGTGACTTGTCTAAATGACTCACATTCTCCATGCCTAGATGGTTCCTAGGATTGTCTTTGTGGATGTGAAAATCCTAATTCAAATGTCCTGGGAACCAGCACATGATTTCACCTTTTTAAACAAGTAGACAATATTCCATTGTGCGAATCTACCACATTTTAATAATCCGTTCATCTGTTGATGGG